TTCTAAGCAACTTTTAACTTTACAATTCCATTTACAATGGAATTATCCAGTCACCTCTAATTCCTGGACTAGAAACTAAAGCAACAGTTGGCTCACCCCCTTCACAAAAACCACCTTTCAAGATCCTTCAAACCTCTTTCAAAAGGAGCATGAGGGATGGGGCACCTGGGGAAGGAATTTCCACCATCTTCCTTCAACAGCCGTTGATGCAAAAAGACTCCATCTACACAAAACTCACATTAAGAGCAGAAATCACTGCTTTGTCAATCATCTTGCCAGACAATATTAAGAGCAGACATATCAGTTTGCTTGCAAATTCCAGCATTTTTTTATTTCAACTTTTTGTAATCTCCCTGTGTCTTTTGCTAGCTTTAGGGGAAGGTTTTACCATGCAGATAAGGAATACAAGGACCATTCTCCAATGCATGCTGAAAGGGACAAAGTGACAACACTTGCATTTCTGCAATGATTTCTATAGAGATTTATCTTCTAGCACTGCGAATATGCTACTCTGAGCCTTTTACCTTTACAGAGTTGGTGACAGCGCATCAGGACAACATTTTTTTCAAGGAGGTCCAAAGTGACCTCGCTCACAGCAAGAAGTGAGCAGTGCTACAGAGAACTACACTAAAGGATTACACCAGAAGAGGCTCCTACAACCACAGGACATTTTAAATGACTGAATAAATTAGCACTTTGTGGTGTAAGAGCAACGCTGAATTCCTAGAGTGCACTTTTCCCCTGGCAATGTCCCAACTAGGGAAAGGAACGTGTGCCCCAAAAACATTTTCCAGCCCTTGGCACTGGGATGTCCTCCACCAGCAGAATTAAGAATCCTGGTAACAACAAACTTTAATTAAGCTTTAAAAATAACAGCAATGGCTTTGCATAAAAGCCATCTCTTGACTAATGGGAGCAAAATTCCCACAAACATGTATGTGCCTAAGGTGAAAATACTACTTTCATTTAAGTTATCCTTCCAGTTCTAATTCTACACGAGACACAAACAGAAAAACCTGAAAGTTCTCCACATCATCATAAATACACTTCTCTCCTGCTGTCCCTTCAATAACCAAACCAGTGCGGACAGATGCAGGATTGAAGTTCAGAGTCATTTTAGGGCCACAAATTTCAATAAGACACTGCGTGCCCATCATCTGAGGATGGTACTTCCCTCAGAAGAAGAACCCCAAAGAAGGAATGAACAAATAACCAAACACACAAAAAAGAAAAAGCTTTATAAGTATAATATACAATGGAAGAAACTTTAGTTTCAGTTAATTTGGGGACCTTCTCCGCATACTACTTTTAGCTTAGGATGCTGCAAATTGCACTTTGCCTTAGGTGGGCAGGGTTCACTCCAGAGGATCTTCTCCGGCAGCCCTCTGCCAGGGAGCAGAATAACTAATTGATAATGCTGCCCCTTTAATTTCAAAATGCCTTAATTATTTTTCTAACATCAGGCTGGTTTTAATTTCATGAATAATGTTCTGGTCTTTAACTGGAAGCTGAATGGGATCTGTTCGTCTGAAGAGCAGCTAAATCAAACCTCATTTCCCCAGTTATGAAAAAACTTACACCTTCTGCCTACACTTAACAGTTTGATCATTCATGTACAATGGTGAAATGTAGATATAGGCAATGAGCAATTATAAAACATTTCCAGTTGCGATTGCTCGGTTTCCCATTCTCAAAGCAAGCCCACTTCTTATTTTCTAACTCTGCAAAGCACAGCCTGTTCATCCAGACTTGAACGCTTGTCTAACTTCACATGTATTTGCAAGGTGCCAGACAGCACGGTTTCCGTATTCTGTCCCTAGATAGTTATATTTGTGGTAGCAGGCACAACATAAAAATGAGATAGGGCTGCCAACTCGCACATGGGCACACTGAGACTTCCCATTTTGGGTCTTGGAACTACACAGCGCAGACTGCTTCACCCTGCACGTAGCTGCTCAGAGCTCAGTGAATCGTTCAGACAAGCAGGCGCCCCACGTGCCCCACATCTTCTCCCTCATCTGCTACAATGCAATCCCAGCAGCGAAGATGACGACGATTTTTTATGCCATTTCTGCATCATCCAGGCTTCCCTGTACAGTGGCAAACTACTACGCTCGGTAACCAAGTTCATCATGTTCACATTGCTGCAGCAGCAAAAATAGCCCCAGTAAAGATGAAGCCCTACCTCCGACATACAGGCCAGGACACTGATTCATCTGTTGCCTCTTGCTTTTTCATATGTGGGGAGGAGGAAGAAACAATGTTAAAGCTAAAAATAATTGAGTGCATCAACCTCTAAAATTGCTGAGGGTTTTTTTGCGTAACTTCACAAGCCACTGTTTCAGGCACAATCTAAACACGGAAAATTTGAGCCCCAACACGCTGACCCTCAGAAGACACGTGCATTGCAAAATAGTCAGTAGGAACCAAAATTCTTTTGCGACTGTGTCTAAGAATGGTTGCAATCAACACAAATATAATCCCATCTATAAACACTTAGTAACTGAAATCATAGAATCATAGAATTATTAAGGTTGGAAAAGACCCTTAAGATCATCAAGTCCAACCGTTAACCTATCACTGCCAAGCCCACCACTAAACCACGCCCTCAAGCACCCCCTCTCCCCTTCTTTTAAATCCCTCCGGGGATGGAGACTCAACCACTTCCCTGGGCAGCCTGTTCCAATGCCTGACTGCCCTTTCGGTGAAGAAGTTTTTCCTAATATCCCACCTAAACCTCCCCTGGCGCAGCTTGAGGCCATTTCCTCTTGTCCTATCACTTGTTACTTGGGAGAAGAGACCAACCCCCACCTCACTACAACCTCCTTTCAGGTAGTTGTAGAGAGCAAATGACACAAGATCTTCTTTGTTCCCAGCTTGTTCCAGTTGTCCTTCTTCACCAACTGTTTTTCTTTCCTATGTCATGATTCCAGAGTTCCCCGTCTTAAAATGAAGCAAAGAACATATTCATCCAGCAAAGAAAAGGCAGCTTGTATGAGTCAATCTGTAGGCCAAACTGAAAGCTGTTCGGTGCTTTGCAGGTATCTTGTTAAAATTTCATTCAGATCAAACACTCTTAATGGATCCTATTTGGATTTGCTTTTGTTGTAAGGATATTTACTTGATTTTCCATACTTGACACTTAAGAAACCCTGTCCTCTTAACTCACCAAAATACAATAAGCTAGATAAGGTACAGTTTTATTTAAGTATTTTAATTAAAAACTAACCCAACAAAAAACCCCACCCCCCTGCTCCCTCATTAAGGGCCTGATCCAACTCCCGTTAACGTCAAGAGATGATCTGCCACTGACGCACTCCAGTGCTGGCTTGGATCCTCGATCACCAAAATTTAAATTTCATCTACCAGTTATGTTATAGAAACCAGCTAAAACATGAAGAACAACTGAAAATCAAGCTAAAGTTGATTGTAACTATAGCTGTCACTAGCAGCCTCCTATTTTAAACATCTGCGGCCTGTACAGCCTATGCTCGGAGCAGCAATGCGTGCATACACGCACACATATATGGACACTGAGTCATTTGCAGGAACAGACAGTATAACCCACAGTTTTGAAACTCAATTAGGAAAATACTAGTGGGAACTAACAAGAGCCACATTTTGTTATAAAATCTAAGCTTTGCTGAACAAGAACTAATTTAAGGAACTGACGACATCAGAAATACTGAAGTCAGATAATTATAGTGAATTACATTTCAACCCGGGCATCCAGATATTCTTTATAAAGAAAAAGATCGTGTTTTTTATATTAGCAATCAAGGTTGTCAGGGGTACTGGGTCTTCTCCCAAGAATTATTAAGCAGTCATTTCACATGAGTAGTGTGTGTACAATATGTCTACATTTTTTAATGACTCATAGGGTGTCTACAGATTGAATACCACGGGATTCAATCCACAACCAGCATCATTAACATGAGAGTTCGAAAATACTCAACAAAATTCAGCTGGTAGAGAAAACAAGTTATCGTTATTTGTGTCACTAAAAAACAAAGGATACACAGAATTAAAGGAAAATATTTTTATTCCTAAACAGTGCAAGTTAACAAGTGCTACGTCTATTTTAGTGCAGATGAAGTAGAAAAAGAATCATCTGAAAATAAAAATTTTCTGTGTTCCTGACTCTGAAACAAGGGCATGAAGCAAAAATCATAAAAAAAGGAAGCCACACGATCAATGCAGAAACCCACTGCCTCAGCTAAGAAAAGAGAAGAAAGAAGAAGGGAGAAGGAAAGGAAATGCTCTTCCAGGAGTTCAGATCCCTAAGTTGGGCTGTGTTTTGCAGTCCCTCTGGCTGCTTTCCGATTTCCATCCACTTTGCCAGGAAACTGCTGAAGCTCCAAAAAGCTGTTACGGAGACAGGACATTCCCAGACCGCCACCGTGCCATTTGGTGGAACACTTGCTAATTTTAGATTAGAGGAGGAACACACTGGGACAATTAGCCAAGAGCCACTCCTGACTCTTGTTCCAACCCTTCTTCAGACAAAACTCACACCCAAACAATAGGACTGACAGCAACACCCTTCAAACAGAAACAAAACACAGAGGCAAAGGAGGATCCACCATGCCTTTTTTGGTAGAATACATCTTTCAGAGAACACGTGCATTTCAACCCCAAAAGTGACCACTGGAAATGAAAACACTTTGTCGAATGGCACCTTATGCAGAAAACCCACCTGCAAGCGGTGAAGGTTGCAAAACAGGAGGGGACCGTTTAACGGCAGAGGACAGGGAAGATGGCCAGCTAGAGCTCTCCGAAAGAGTATCTGATTGCATGCCACAAGAGATTATCTGGTTGCAGGGATAATAATATTTGGCATGAAACGGTTTGATAGCACTCAAAGCCACCTCCATGCTGAAGGGCAAGAGCTCTTCCACCTGTTCCCCCTCTCTGCACCATGCAGCTTGGGGGACAGGTATGCAGGGACTCATTAGAGATGGGGAAAGGAACCTGTAAATAAGTGTACACAAACATCATACCTTTAACAACACAACATCTACAGTCCTGTCCACCTTGGAAATGTCGCACAAGCTGTATCGCCTCTTATGGCGTTCGTACATTTTGTCCAAAAAGGCGGGAGCGGAGGAGCAGAGTCCACCATGAACCCCAGGCTGACTGCGGCCAGGTGCGCTCCAGACCTCTCACGTACGTGCTCTGAGGAGTCCCCGCGTCTCAGCACACCGGCCTGTCCGAGCCTCGTAACAGGAAAAAGAAAATCCCAGGGCAGCGACCGACTGATAAAAGTCTTCTCGGAACAGATTTGCTTATACAGGCAACACAGGAACTTACAGCAAACAAAAGATATTTGAAGAGAGCTTTATACATATAGATTTTTTTAGCAAGTTTTCTTAGCAACTGCTAAGAATGGTATCAGCCTTCCTGTTAGCGTAATAATAATAATTAAAAAAATGTCTTCCAGACAACTTTGATATCCAAAAAGCACCAGAATGAAAATCCTGCCCAAAAAGAGAACAAAGGCCAGATGTGTGCAGCAGGAACCCTGATGCTCCGAGAGGGAAGGCAGAAGGTAGACTCAGCCGTGACGGGTCTAATTCAGGAAAAAAGGAAAAAAAAAAAGCCGATCACTGTATCCAACGTAAATACTGTCACCAACGTGTTTTTTCTTTCACGCCCTCGTGCACCAAAAGAAACAATAAAAAAAGGTACTTTCTTCCTTTCGAGTCGGTCCACGGTTCACCAGACAGGAGGGCTTGGGTTTGCGTTAAGTTTAAATTTCTAATGACAGCACAGGGCAAAAGGAAAGAAAATAATGAAATAAAGCCACTCCCTCCTGATTTGGGCTGGGACGTCACTACTTGCCTTTTTAGTCCTGCACCAGTGTTCTCCCAGCTTTCAAAATTTCTTTGCAGTTGTGGGAGCATGATTCATCTCTTCAGAAAGAAAAAAAAAAGGGAGGGGGAGGGGGAAGAAAAAGCAGCAGCTTTTCTTCGCCAGCTTCTTCCACCTCTGGCTGCAGGCACTTGGTGTGTCTTTGCTCGGTCCAAAAAGTGACCGAGAAGCAAAGGGACGTGTGTTCGGAGAGGTAAAAAGACTCTTTCCTCTCCGCCAGGCCAGGTGAATGAGAGACAATTTCAGGCTTAATGCTTCCCCAAAACAGGAATGGAAACTTATGATTTAATCAGTGCACACAGAAGAGGAGGGGGAGGGAAAAAAAAAAAAGGAAATCAGCCATTTACTTTTTTTTGTTTGTTTGCAACACAGAGCAAAAGATTTCACCAACTTGCTCTCCAGAAAATACTATTTTCCCTCTTTCATTCTAGCCTGAAAGGCAGAGCTTTTTTTGTTTAAAAAAAGAAAACAACAACAAAATAAACCCTAAAATTTTTTAGTCTTTCTAATGCCGGGGCAGTCCGAGCGTCTCCCCTCTCAATAGCTCATTCACATCAGCTGGGCCCTGCATGCACGCTGCCACATGGTTTCCTGTTTTCAAACTGCCCCCTTGCAGCCCCCTCCGCTTTCCACCCCACCCTGACCTCTCCAGGGATGAAATCTTTCCATACTTCCCTGGCTTTAGACATTCTCTCATTCACCGATTCAAAAGGGAATGGGGGCGGTTAAAAAAAAAAAAAAAAAAGGAAAGAAAAAAAAAAAAGAGAAGAAAAGGGGAAGGGGGGTTTCTGTGGTTGGAGTTTGTAGCCAGCAGAACTTGCTGCTTTTCTGGGCAGAAAAGCTGGAAACACAGGAATTGTTAATTCCGTGTTGCAAAGCAGGAAGCACAGACATCGGAAGCGGCGCTTATCAACCCAGCGTTTAATTGCAGATCTCCAAAAGCCATCCTCCGCGGCGCCGGGTGAACTGGCCCACCTCCTGCTGCTGGGATTCGCTCCACTGGTGGAGCTCAGTTAAGGGTTTGTAGGTCTTTTCCAGCCCACAAGGTGACCCAAGTCCCCTGGTTGTATGAGGCACTTTGTAACCACCAGCTCAAGCTCTGGCAAAGGTGACTCAAACCCTGCAACCTGCTGAAACGGATAAAAAGTGAGTTTTTGGCATTTGCATGCAAGATGAGTCTTCCAAAGGAGGTTCAAACCCATCTGCTGCGAGCGGGCACTCCAGCTCCTTTCTTTCCAGTGCTACCTAGTCTTCTGGCCACCCAAAAACATTGCACCAGCAGCCTGCCTGTGAGTAACAAAGGAACTGACTCCCCTCCGTGCCTATTTGGTAAAACAGTGAAGAACGGGAGTTTACAGAAACACAAAGTACTATTTTTGGGCTCTCCTGGATGTGACACCCCCAATCTGTACAGCCAGATTACGCAAAAGCATAATTACCTTCTAAACTTAGCAGACTCGGTAAGCAAGCTGAGGAGGGTGTCTTTTCCTAAGACTACAGCACAGCTCGGTGGCTAGCCACCCATCGAAGGTCCACCCGTGGGCATCGCGCCATGAACACGTCCTTGTGCGCTGGGGACTCGCAGCGGATCAGCTCCTCCCGGTTAGTGACACAGGTATGCTCTTACCTGGTCAACGCAAGGTATCTCCCCCCACTTTCATTAGGCTCCAGTCTCTCCCTCACAACCCAAAGCTTCATCTCCACCACATCACCAGTTGAACTGAGGAGGATCTCCTCTATGAGGCTCTCTTACAGCTACAATCCCCGGCTTGAGATCTCAGCCAATGACTCTGTCCTCCTCAACAACGAGCGGAGCTTCTGCTTTCAGTATTAGGACACACATGAAATGTGGTAGTACTTTGGGGACTTTCTGGAGCCACCAGTTTTCTCCACAAGTAATGAATCCCAGCAATCATGTGCCTGTCGAGATGAGGAATCAGAAATGGCTGTGACAGCATTCCAGCCCTTCAAACACTACCATAAAAGGCAGGGATTTCCTCAAATCTAAATTTACAAGATGGGAACCTATAAACAAAGTGTGTGAATTTAGTTCAGGTAAAGGAATTTGCAGCAGTTGCTGTACTTTGATGATGCTCTGATGTTTCATTATGGAGCACCCATATTTTTTTAACCAATACAGCAATTAAGTTTGTTTTCAGTTCAATCTAATGACGGCTGCTGGTATATAAGGCTGAGATTTATCCAAACGACAGCACACAGCTCTGTCAAAGTGCTCCACTTAATGGACTTCACCTTTGAACTGCAGAACCCTTCTGGCAACCAGAGGGAGACGTTCAGGTGCAGGACTCGAGCAATGCCCACCTTGCAGAGGAGACTGCCATGCGAGCATCGCTACTGAGCGTGATAGTGCATCTTCCACAGAGACGCGACTGGTCTGACTTGTAGCTGCATCAACACCCAGTCTTCTGTGGCTCACGTTATCTCACCCTTCCTACAGGTAAGGAGAAATGAGAAACATCTCTACCCAAAGGGGGCGGGAGACGTGCTGGGAGATGTGCAGCCTTCATAGCAGGAAGTTAAAAAGAGGAGATGAATTTTTCTGAGCTGTGCACAAGCATCTTGGTATGGCCAAAAGCCACAAGTAACGCAACGTGTGCCTTCATGGGACAGGAGGGAACAGAAACTTGCGGTGGAAGGTGCAGGCAGGTGGCTAGAGCCGGCTAGGGAAGCTGCCAGGTCAGCGCCAGGCAGGGTGACTCTGGGCACAGGACGTGTCCCAGGACTCAGTACACGTCCATGCCCTACCTGTGAATCAAGACGATGACCTGCCTTCCTCCATAATTATGTGTCTTGATCTAGTAAAGGTTGCCAACTGATCCCTTTGGACTCCTCTACACCTTCAGCCACAAAGGGAAATAATCAACACAAACAAACAAATAAGATCCCCCTCTCTCCCTTCTCTTTTTCTTTTCAAATTTAAGCTTCCAAATCCCTAATTTGTTCCAAGAGTTTTTCTGTGGTTATGTTCCTGACTCACAGCCAAGATCAGGCGGCCAGTGACGACTACAGACACCCAAAGTCCATCTCATCTTCATTTCCAGACTTTACTGTTTGGGGTGGGGGCGTGGGGGGGTGTAATATAAACAAGTAGAAGATAATATGCCAGACACGCTCCCCCTTGGGAGACCATCACTCTCTTCCCACGTTAGGTGGGGCTTTTGCTGCATTGTTTCAAGCTAGAAATCTTGCCTTGCACACAGCCTTATATACACACAGGCACGCCGAGCAGACGCAGAAGACGGACTCGGCCCGGACGAAGCAGAACAAAGGTTTCCAGTCTCTTTTGTCCACCTATTTAAGGCAGTCCCTTGAACGCCATACGCATGTTTACACAGTATATAGTATTTATGCTCAGAAACACAATGCACCAGACAATCAGAGGATAAAGATTAAATAAAAACAAAAAAACGTACTCCAATGAGTAAATAATTATCTTTTTTTCCCCGCGAGTTGCTCAAAATGGAGCGGAGACGCGAGCAGCAGCCTGGGCCACCAGCTGCTGATGCGACAGTTCTGGGCTCCTTATTGAAAACATCTGGAAGCGCTGAGTCGCTCTGTGCAGACAGGAGTTTGAAACTATCCAATCGTTTCATATCCAAACCAAAGTCCAGCGCTGCGGATTTCAAGGGAAGGAAAAGGGGGGGGGGGGGAGAAGGGCGACACCCCACGTGCTGTAAA